ACAACCACACTGGGAGGCATAGGTCATGGATTATATCATGGAGTCGTCACACCACACTGGCAAAGGTAGATAGCGGGTTATCTTGAAATCTTCATAACCACAGCAGGAGGTATAAATAGTGGATTATCTCACAGAATCTTTACAGTCAGACTGGGAGGTGTAGAGACTTCTGTATTCTTCAGTTTTACGCTGAAATGAAGTCTCAGGGAAGTTCTGGAAGTTGCCCAAGAGCACTAGCCGGAGGCCCTAAGCTAGCTCTGCAGGCCCCAGGGCCACATCATTAGCAGCTCCCTTGCCCTGGCCCCAGGGAGGAAGCATTCTTCATCAGCACAGCCCATTGAGCCCAACCCCCAGAACAGGAGCCCTCAGAAGTTAGTGCTGGAGCAATGTCCTTTTCACAATGAATCCTGGGCTGCAGGGGGCATGTTAAGGAGAAGGAGGAATCTGGAGAAGAGCAAGCTTACTACCTGCTCCTTTGAAGGAATCCTTTCCTTAAATGACAACACAATATTTTCTCTGATCAAAAGTTGTTTTCCTGCGAGTTAAGCTGGGGGAGCTTTGTGGCTGTCCCGACTTCCTGCACACTCTGCACCGTGCCTTTGGAGACGTCATGATGCATCTGCTCTGCAGCAGACCAGACTTGCTGCCCTGGGGAGTCAGGCTCTTTCACAATCCACAAAGGTGATCATACAGATAAAGACCTGGAATTGCTGGTCCCTGGTCTGTGAGAAATGCTCCTGGGCTTTTGGTTGCAAACCCAGGCACTCTTGACAGCTGAAACTCATTGTCAGTTGGGGAGGAGAAATTGAGATGTCAGAGTCTTTAGCCAAATCCCTGGGAGATTAAGGTTGTCTGTGTGTGGAGGCAGGAAGAGGTGAACAAAGGACTGTTTTCAACTGATTTATCTGAACTGAGGCCACATCTGCATTATCCTGGGATTAATGACATTTTGAACATGTTTAATCTCAGAAGCTATTTTATCGTGTAGCCTTGACCCTGAATGTTCATGCTTGAGCGATCATGTTGTAAGGTCTTTGGCCTCTGAAGCCTACCTTACCCTGCACATTGTCAGAGACTTCGGCCCCTTCTCCTGCCCTCCCCAGGTGGAGTATGGCACAGATCCCAGAGCTCTACACACTCAGTGTGGATGCCAAGCACAGGAGGCGAGCATACAGTTCAGAGAGGCCTCCCAGGCCCCTGCCACAGAGCAGAATGGCTCATCACACAGCTGCTCTGCCTGTGCTCACTAGGGACAAAGGCACAGCTTCTCTGAGGCTCAGCACTGTGGACAGTGATGTTCAGCCCACCACTCCTTTCTCAGCTTATCTGCTGAGAGGCTCCAGGTGGAATCTCAGGCACCTGTGAACTACATTAGGGACCTTGAGTGGGTTTTCTCCCTTTTTCCTGGTGTCTAGACCCTCATTTGCTATTCTTGCACCCCTCTACCTGTGAGGGTGGCCCTGGACAGTACCTATAACAGGGTTTGGAGGTTACAAGGGCCCTCTTGCATTCCTGACAAGGAAGAAGGTGAGAAAGAAGAGAATACAGAATAAAAGGAAAGACAAGCAGTTGCAGTGAAAGCGGCAGGAACCAAAAAGGAGAGAAATGGTGGTGTGGTCATAAGCTGGCCCAGTGTTTGGAGACACTGCCATTGCAGGTGCCTCATCCCACAGCACGGCCTGGCCCAGCCAGGGCACCCACTCATTCCTGCGAGTCTGCACGTGAACACAGACACACGCTTAAACACACACACAGTACAGCTGGAAACATTCCTACCCCACAGACAGGCAGCAGCAGGTGACTCTTCTGTGCTTGGGATGGAATTCTGCCAGCATGCTCTTAACGAAAGGAAAATTTATCTCTTGCCAAGCTCAACATTTAGAACTGCACCTGGTATATAGTCTGTGGCATGTATTTGTTCAGTAGATAAGAAATGCTTATGACCAAAGGCATACTTCAGTTGGGTAGATGGTGAACTAGCAAATATGTCTAGTTCCAGACACAGTGAGGCAAGTGTTTCAAGAGGTTACAGAGGAATGAGGAGAGAGGCTGACCAGAACAGACTTAATGCAGGAGGTGGTACCTGGGGGCCCTGGTGAGCCAGCAAGGAGGATTCTAGAACAAGATATCCAAGCTCTTGTCGCCTCTTTTTAGCTGTGGCCACAGCCTCCTTCCTAGCTTCCTCCTAGCCTCTCATCCCTCTGCAGTCAGACTGACTCTCCATAGAACCTCCAGAGTGAGCCCATGGTTTAAAACTCCCACAGCTCCCCATTATGGACAGAAAAAGAAAAAAGACAGAAAAGACCCTTCCTCAGGGCTGGTCTACGTAACTCCTCCTCCTGCCCCCACCCCTAGCCGGGAAGATTGTTCTTCAGACCCCAACCCTGAAGGCACCCCTACTCCCACTCACCAGTGTTAGGCCCTGTGTCCACATAGCCCTTTGTACATTTTAGCATTTTCCAGTTTCTACCAGTTACTTGCTTGTATCTTGTCTCTCCAACTAGACTTTGAGCTTTTTGAAGGAACAATTTGTTGTTTGTTTTCCCACCTCAAATATAAGGCAGTCCTTGCCCACAGCAAACACTGAATGAATGGAAAGAAGAAAGGTGAAACAGGAGAATAGAAAAGCTGGGCTCTGGCTAGGAATAGAAAGTAGGGCTGGATTGTACACTAGGAAGTTTTAGTAATTTCAGCAATTCTGCCTGTTGGATCAGGAGTAGAAGAGAAAACACTGGGAGCAAGCAGTGACGGCTGAGGGTCAGGAGCAAGCAGGAGTTCCAGGTTAGGAACAAAAGTCAGACAAGGACCTAGAGAAGAGCCTCAGAGGCCGGAGGGATGCCACAGGAGGACAGCTGCCCCATCCCCTAGGAGAGGATGTGCAACCACATCAGAGCTGCAGGAGTGAAGCAGGTTCGGGACCAGGCAATGCCTTGGGATTTGGGGTTGGGTGGTTGGGAGGATGGAGAGTGGTGTCATCTCGTGGCTGGTTCAGGAACTGGCTGACAAGACAGAGGCAGAGGCCATTTGAGCTAAGGGTAGAGGAGGAGACCTTAGGGGACAGTGAGGCTCTGTGGAGACTTCTTTCAAGCTCAAGCTGTGGAAGACCCAAGCATTCTGCAAAGCTGCAGGAAAGACATCAGTGGGAGAGACTGAAGAGTCAGGAACAGGGTAGGATGAGTCCGAGAGGTGGAGCAGGATTCCCAGGGGGCCAGTCGGGTGGAGGCCCCAGGGAGCAGCCAGAAAAAGGAGTAGTATCCATCCTGGCTGCCAGGGCCAGGGGAGGTCCTGGGTGTGTGAGGCTGAAGACTCCTCACCCCCGGCAGGAGACTGTAGCTTACAAAGCAGTGGCTCCCCACCCCCTTTTCCCTCCTTGGTGACCAGGGGACTAAGGGAAAAGAATTCCAGCCTGAACTGGAAGCAGAAACAAAGGCAAAGCGAATACTGTCCTCTACACACCAGGGCAACGGGTGGAATACATCAGGCCATGGAGAACAATGACATGATTCCTCCTGACGTCTGCATGTGTTGCTGTGAAATGGAGCTGTTGTCACTCGGCTGACTCAGCCACACTGTGGAGAAAGCAACCGAGGAGAGGTGCCAGGTGGATGGAGATCAGTTTCGGCTTTTGTTTTATCCTGTGACAGGCAAACGTCCAGAAGCAGGCTCACGGAGAACCTTGGGTTCTATGCTTTTGATGTACCTGTAAGAAACCACTTATTGGCCAGGGGAGGTGGCTCACCCCTGTAATTCCAGCACGTTGGGAAGCTGAGGCAGGTAGATTGTTTGAGCTCAGGAGTTCAAGATCAGCCTGGGCAACATGGCGAGACCCCATCGCTACAAAAAATTAGCTGGGTGTAATGGTGCATGACTATAGTCCCAGCTATTCAGGAGGCCAAGGTGGGAGGATCACTTGAGCCTGGTAGGTGGAGGTTCCAGTGAGCCTTGATTGCACCACTGTACTTCAGCCTGGGTGTCAGAGTGAGACCCTGTCTCAAAAAAAAAAAAAAAAGAAAAAAAAAAAGCTTCTTATTTAATCCAGAGATTTCCTTTTTCTACTGATGAAGGTAAAAAATTCTTATTGTAGAAAATATGAAAATACAGAATTGTTAAAATGTAAGAGGAGGGGAATCACCCACAATTTACCACACAAAGATAAGCACAGTTAATGTGGAAGGAAACATATGGTGTCTTTTTGTTTTTTGTTTTTTTGATACGGAGTCTTGCTCTTATTGCCCAGGCTGGAGTGGAATGGCGCAATCTCCGCTCACTGCCTCCCAGCGTCAAGCAATTCTCCTGCCTCAGCCTCCCAAGTAGGTGGGACTACAGGCACCCACCACCACGTCCGGCTAATTTTTGTATTTTTAGTAGAGACGGGTTTTTGCCATATTGACTACGTTGGTCTCGAACTTCTGATCTCAGTGATCTGCCTGCCTTGGCCTCCCAGAGTGTTGGGATTACAGGCATGAGCCACTGTGCCTGGCCAACATATGGTTTCAAAGGCACTATTTCTTTTCTCTCTATAACATTAAGGAAAGCAACTGTGGCCAGTTTTTGGTGTTACTCTCTCCACGAAGGGAAGGTTATACTCACAGTTTTTAGAAGACAAGAGATCAATAGTGTGTCTGCAGCATTTGAGCAGGAATCAGGTAGTATGTACTGGTCCAAAATGACAGGATTATATTAAAGAAATTTTACCTATTTGTGTACTGATCTCCTTCCAGAAAGGATTCCTAGGAGGAAGTTGGCTTTAAAGTACAGACCGACCCTATAGAAGCAGTTGCATTTAATTTTTTGTGGCTCAGACTAGAGGAGCATAATCTCTCTGATATATCTTTACAAAGAAAACAAAGTCCCCTAAAGAAAGTAATCCTCTCACCAGAGGGGCTCCCAGCCACCTTACAACCTGAACCAAAGCAGTAATGTTCTCTATGTGGGAACCGAAAGGGGGAAACCGAAGAGGAAACAGAACTGTTTCTATAACCTTGTGCCTTTACTCACAGAAAAGAATCTGCTGCCTGCAGCAACAGGGCCTGGAGCCGATGGGCAGCCCGCACCGCCCTGGATCACCGTCACTAGGCAGAAGCGGCGAGGAGCCTTGGACCAGCCAACCAACCAGGAAGACAAGCCTGGGGCACGGACCGCGAAGTCTGAACTGGGAAAGCAAGTCAAGGTGCACGAGAGAGCCCAGGTGCTTAGAGCAGACACTTTCCATTCTGTGGGCGCAGGAGAGAGTAGCCAGCTGGGCCAGGGGCAGGGACCCGTAAGAACCACAGGTCCTGCATGGGCATCACAGGCACCGTTACCTGTGATGGTTGGGGATGTGTGGTTGAGAGCCAGTGAAGCAAAAGAAATGACTTGCCAAATTGTAACCTCCATAATGGAGCATTCTGCCTGCCTTTGCCTATGCTGGGCTGTTGGGGATGCAGAGAAGCACGTGAATCACTTAGGCAGTGCAGACAGCTCCCTGCCTCCTTGGCAACACAGCAGCTCCGCATCTAGAAAAATGGAAGGAGGTTAAAATAACTTCGAAGTTAGACACACAGCGATGATGTCAACAGATCCATTCCAGCTAACTGCGCTGTGAGGAGCGAGCCCTGTTCTTTGCTGCTCCACTGGCCACATGCTGGAGCTCCTCATTCCTTACCTGGGGCTGCAGGGCTGGAGCCTATATTTCCATTTTGTACTCTGAACTGAAGGCAGCTTTTACCAACCCAAACAATATGCCCAGAATCAGGCCGACTCGCAGTTTTTGTATCCCCAGTAGCACCGTGATAAATCCGTGTGTTTCAGCCATGTGGGGAAGAGAGCCTGAGCCTGCAGTAGGACCTGCTTCCCTTTGCTTTAACCGGAACCTCAACTCTACCAAAACCTGAAGACCTTCATGCAGGCATAGGGAATTTAGAAAACAAATATTAACCAGTTTGGGACATCTATAACTATACCAACTGTCATAAAAATCACAAAACCATTTCTAAACAAATCATCTTGACTTTCAAATGAAACCCCTGCCATCTGGCACTGAGACCAGGTGTGGGGACAAGAAGGAAGCCGTGACGCACATGTGTGCCAGGATAAGGCTGCATGCTGGTCTGAGCGCCAGCATCTGACCACTCCGTGTCAGTGAGTTGACACCAGGGCCCTCCCGAGAAAGTAGCAGCAGCACAAGGCATCTTGGGCGAGCAGCCTTGCGGCTCTTCATTTTGTTGTGTTTGCCCCTGTCTGAATCACTGGTGACTTGGCAGCATGTGTCTTGTGTCCCAACAGGAGCCTGTGAAGCAAGCTGACTTTGTACGCAGCAAGTCTTTCCTGATAACCCCTGTGAAGCCCGCTGTGGACCGGAAGCAGGGGGCAAAGCTCAACCTCAAGGAGGGGCTGCAAAGAGGAATCTCATTGTCCCATCAGAACTTGGGTATGAAATCCTCAAGCATGACCACATACTTTGAAATCATTTTCTTGGGTCATTCCTGCAGTTTGGGTTTTGGTTTGATTTTTACGAATTACTTGCCACATGGAGTTTTCTACACAGCTCTTATGGAGATATAATTTACATGTCATAAACCTCGTCCGTTTTAAGTGTACAGTTCATTATACGGTTGATTCTTGAACAACACAGGTTTGAACTGTGCGGGTCTTTTAAATGCTGATTTTTTCCAGCCAAACTCAGATGGAAAATTACTTGTATCCTCAGGATGTGAAACCTGAGAAAACAGAGGGCCATTTTTTTGTGTATGTGGGTTCTACAGGGCCGACTGCAGGACTTGAGTATTCACAGATTTGGGTATATGCAGGTGGGAGAGGTCCTAGAACCAAACCCCGGCATACGCCAGGGGATGAGTGTGTATTGACAGTGAGCACGTTTGTATTTACAGAGTTGCACAACCATCATGACAATCTAATTTTACAATATTTCGCTCACACTAAGAAGAAACCTCATGCCCATTTATAGTCACTTCCCACTCCCACTCCTAGCTCTAGGCAACCACTAATCTACTCTGTCTCTATAGATTTGCCTTTTTTGGACACTTCTAATGAATGGAATTCTAACGTATGTGCCCTTTTATATCTGGCATCTTTTACTGAGCATAGTGTCATGTATCAGTATTTAAAAATTTTTAGTCTGGCTGTGGTGGTTCATGCCTATAATATCCCAGCACTTTGGGAGGCAGAGGCGGGCGCATCACCTGAGGTAAGGAGTTCAAGATCAGTCTGGCCAACATGGCAAACCCCCGTCTCTACTAAAAATACGAAAGTTAGCCAGGCGTGGTGGTGCATGCCTGTAATCCCAGCCACTTAGGAGGCTGAGGCAGGAGAGTCACTTGAACCCAGGAGGCAGAGATTGCAGTGAGCTGAGATGGCACCACTGCACTCCAGCCTGGGCAACACAGCAAGACTCTGTCTCAAAAAAAAAAAAAATAGAAATTTTTATATATTTTTAATTGTGGTGAAAGGCACCTAACAGAATTTACGATCTTAGCCATTTTTAAGTGTATAGTGCAGTAGTTTTAAGTAGAGGGACACTGTTGTGCAGCCCATCTGCAGAGCTCCTGCCTTTTTATTTCCAAAGTCTCTCCCACCTCATTGCATTGCCAGACTGTTTGAGCTTGCTCATATGTCTTTTTATCACATAAACAACATATTCTAGGACTAGGTCTTCTTATATGTTCACATATTATTGAATTTTACGTTCGAGAACATAGTTAAGACCTTGATGTCTATTTCAAGAAACACGAGAGGCTTAAGGGAAAATTCAAAGTCACTGCTCATGTTTCTGTTTCCTTTGTCTCCCTTCCAAGCAGCTCAGTCTGCAGTGATGACGGAGAAGGAATTGCATCAGCTGAAGAGAGCCAGTTATGCCAGTACAGATCAGCCATCCTGGATGGAACTTGCCAGAAAGAAATCTCAAGCTTGGAGCGACATGCCCCAGATTATAAAATAGGTGGGCAGTGTGCTGACAAAGCATGTCCACTACCCTGACAAGCCACTTAGTTAAAAACTGCCAGTATATCATGGCAAACAAACTGTGAAACTTAAAGATTGATTTTATCATCAAGTTATGACGAGTTCGGGGAAGAGGAAGGAACCAGGCAAAACAAAGAGGATAAACACACAGCCATACTCCTGGGCCAGAGGGCCCAGAAACAAGAGCAACGCTGAAAAAGTCCAGAAACCAGTTCTGTGCCCAAAGGTACTAATGTGTCTTTTAGAATTCCCTTGATAAAGAAGCCTCAGACAAGGAAGAAAATGAAAATGAAATTGGACACATAAATAGGACACCCTGCAAAGGCCAGAAGAGAAGCCCTTCTAGAAGGGACGGCTGTGCTTCCAGCTGAGATCAGCCCTTGTCTCTGGTCACTGTCTTGCCTGTGGATCCTGTCTTCTTTCCTGTTTTCTTCGAGGCATGACATTCATGGTAAAACAGGGATGCCGTTTCCAAGAGCAGCTATAAAACAATCTGTTTTCCTAAAGGCAGCCACTCTGAGAAGGAGATGAAGGAACATGGCAGGGTTCATCAATTCACAGACTGTTTCCAGAATAATTTTTAAACTTTTCCACTAGGCATCTGTGTCTTTAACCACTGCACAATGCATTGCCTGTTTAATAAAAGGTTTCAAACATGCCTCTGTTTTAAGTGTAAATGTTATTTCTACTCAGGTTTAGAGAACATCCTCCAGCACTCAGTTAAATGCAGCAAATAGGGTTTTGCTTCATACCTACCTCATTTAAAATTCTGAATTGGGTTAATTGTGGAGTTTGAGTTTTTGAGGGTTTTTTTTCCCCCAGTGAGAATTTTGGAAGACAGACGGTAATGTAGGGTTTTTAACTCTTTTCATCTATTTAGTACAACATGCTAAAAATATAAAATTTCCTAAGAAGTTATCATTCTTTAGCATCTAATCAATTGAACCTGCACATTTCTGTTGAAAGCTGGGTTGCCAGTGCATCAGCCAGTATGACCCATGAATGCAGAATGTGGAAAAACCAAGGAGAAGGAAAACATATTTGAAATCTCAGAATTGTCTTGGTTACATAATGCCTCTTTACTGCTTAAAACAGTTCCAATTTGTTCCTTTGAATAAGCTGATCTCCCTGGGAATACATATAGCTGGGGACATTTAGCCTTCAGAATCAGTACAACTTCATGACATACTATAATTTGATTTTATATACCCTAGGGTCTTGCTACTTTTATTGTATTTTCTATTTTCATGAATATTATTTTTTTACCTATTAGTACTATACAAGTTGATTGAGCCTACCTTTATTGAGAAAGTCCTGGGTCAGTTTTTTTTTTTCCTCCCAACTAAATTGATTTACTAATTGCATTCTCTTAGAGAATGTCAATACCGAATTCCATGGTGAACATGCTATAGCACAAGAACTCCATCCATTTAGCCTTGCTCCCAAAGCTGAGGCGTCTGTGAGTCATTTTAACTAGCAAAAATCATGTTGGCTCTGATTACCCCAAAACCATTGTTTCTCTATTAGCATATGATTTCAGATGAACCATTTTGAGGCAGCAGATTACACTGTAAGATCGAAAGTACTTGGTTTGGTTTTGTTCAAGCAGATGCTGATATTCTGTGTGTATTTGAGGACTTGGTTTAATTCTCTCTGACGCCTGGTGAGTTAGAAGGGTGCCATTTTTAGGAGACTGGGAGAATTCACTGTGGGGTGGCCCTGCAGTTGCCACCTTCAGCATGGAGGTGGTGACCCTTCTGTCATAACCAGCTGAGATGTTGGCTGAAATTTAGCGATGTTGGGAAGTTCAGAGTAGCAGCAGAGATGGTAAAAGCCTACAAGCAATTACCAGCTTTGGTTCTCCTAAAAATAAAGATGAGGGGTGGTCAATTACTGAGCCAGCCACTGCTCTGTATTTCATATGTAATTTAGAATCCTCTGCACGGTCCTTTGAGGGTAAGTACTTATATCCACTTTGCAGGTGACGAAACTGAGGCACATTGAGGTTAAGATCCCATAGCAGGTATGCACCTGGAAAGTGACTCCAAGGCCCACGATTTTAAACACTATCCTTGAGTAATAGCCCATTTTTATATTTTATTTATTTTATTTTATTGGCAGGGTCTTGCTCTGTCTCCCAGGCTGGGGTGCAGTGGCATAATCTCAGTTTACTGCAGCCTTGAGCTTCTAGGCTCAAGCAATCCTCCCATCTCAGCCTTCCAAGTAGCTGGGACAACAGATGTGCACCACCACACCTGGCTAATCGTCTATTTTTTCGTAGAGACAGGGTCTCACTATGTTGCCTAGGTTGGTCTTAAACTACTGGGCTCAAGCGATTCTCCTGCCTCAGCCCCCCAGAGTGTGGGATTACAGGCATTAGCCACTGCACCCAGCCAACATCCCCATTTTTAAAAAGCATTGATTCAGCGAATCACAAGGTCAAGAGTTTGAGACCAACCTGGCCAACATGGTGAAACTCCATCTCTACTAAAAATACAAAAAAATTAGCTGGGTTTGGTGGGCGCCTGTAATCCCAGCTACTCGGGAGGCTGAGGCAGAAGAATTGCTTGAACTCGGGAGGCGGAGGTTGCAGTGAGCCGAGATCGCACCACTGCACTCCAGCTTAGGAGACAGAGTGACACCCTGTCTCAGAAAAAACATAAAAAATAAATAAATAAGCACTGGTGCAGAGGTGAATCTGTGGCCTCAAAGACAACACAGGCATGGAAGCACTGAACTTGACCTTGGGGGCTACTGTGTTTTAGGGACACCCTCATCCTTCAATTCCTTAGACAGACTGGAAAAAGGGAGAGGAGCGTTTATAATTTTTAATTGTGAGCACCTGCCTCAATTATGTGGTGTTTTCATTCATTCCTTCACCTCATTCAGGTGACGCTTCAGTGCCTGCATTCTATGAGGGCTTAGGGACAGCTGATGAACAAACAAGTAACAGGCTAACCTTGTACCACATCTGTTTCATTGGTGGGGGGACACAATGAATAAATATAAAATATACCAAAAAACCCTAAGTAAAAATAGCAATAAGTTCAATGATGAGCCTAGAATAGAAGGTCTTGGTAATGGCAGAACTATGTGAGATTGGGTGGTTAGCGAAAGGTTTGCCGGAGGTGATCTAATTATAAAAATGATCATGGTGGCCTTGTCTAAAGTAATGCTGGAGGTGGAGAGAAGCAGATGGATTCAAACCACAATTTAAAGGTAGCATCAGGTCGGGTGCGGTGGCTCATGCCTGTAATCCCAACAGTTTGAGAGGCTGAGGTGGCTGAATCACGTGAGGTCAGAAGTTCCAGACCAGTCTGACCAACATGGTAAAACCCCATCGCTACTAAAAATACAAAAAAAAAAAAAAAAATTAGCCAGATGTGGTGGCACATGCCTATAATCCCAGCTACTCAGAAAGCTGAGGCAGGAGAATCACTTGAACCTGGGAGGCAGAGGTTGCAGTGAACTGAGATCACACTACTGCACTCCAGCCTGGGCAACAGAATGAGACTCCACCTCAAAAATAATAGCAATAGGCCAGGCGCAGTGGCTCAAGCCTGTAATCCCAGCGTGGTCACGAGGTCGAGGTCAAGAGATGGAGACCATCCTGGCCAACATGAAACCCTGTCTGTACTAAAAATGCAAAACTCAGCAGGGCTTGGTGGCGCACACCTGTAATCTCAGCTACTCAGGAGGCTGAGACAGGAGAATCACTTGAACCCAGGAGGCGGAGGTTGCAGTGAGCCAAGATTGCACCACTGCACTCCAGCCTGGTGAGAGAGCAAGACTCCATCTCTAATAATAATAATAATAATAAAGGTAGCATTAAATTCAACATGAGGTGGGTTTGATATGGTTGGTGTGAGAAGGAAAGGGTGGAGGTAGAGATTACACCTAGATTTTTGGTTGGAACTCCTGGGTGAGTCGTGGTAACAGAAATGGGCATGGAGGGTGAGATCCACAGAAAGTTTAGTTTGGATATCTTAAATCTGAGATTCCTCCTAGACATCTAAGTGGAAATATCAAGTTATACAATTGCAGGTCATTAGCATTTGGAAAGGATAGGAATTCAGGGGTCTAGGCAAGGAAGAACAGGGTGCCAGAATTCATCCTAGGATACTCTGACACGAGGGATCTAGAGGTGTTGGAAGGGTCTGTGAAGGAAGAGGAAAACCAAGAGAGAGGCAAGGAAACATGTTAGAAAGAAGAGGGAAGAATCAGCTGTGTCAAGTGGGACCCGCTGAGAGTGGGACCCGCTGAGAGTGAGACCCACTGAGAGTGGGACCCGCTAAGAGTGGGATCTGCTGAGAGTGGGAGCCGCTGACAGTGAGACCCGCTGACAGTGGGATCTACTGAGAGTGGGATCTGCTGAGAGTGGGATCTGCTGAGAGTGGGACCTGCTGAGAGTGGGACACTCTGAGAGTGGGATCTGCTGAGCATGGGATCTGCTGAGCATGGGATCTGCTGAGAGTGGGATCTGCTGAGCGTGGGATCTGCTGACAGTGGGACCCACTGAGAGTGAGACCCGCTGAGAGTGGAACCCGCTGAGAGTGAGACCCGCTGAGAGTGAGATCTGCAGGGAGGGGGATATGCTGAGAGTGGGATCTACTGAGAGTGAGACCTGCTGAGAGTGGGATCTGCAGGGAGGGGGATATGCTGAGAGTGGGATCTACTGAGAGTGAGACCTGCTGAGAGTGGGATCTGTTGAGAGTGGGACCCACTAAGAGTGGGATCTACAGGGAGTGGGATCTGGTGAGAGTGGGATCTGGTGAGAGTGGGACCCACTGAGAGTGGGACCCACTGAGAGTGGGATCTGCTGAGAGATCCAGCCAGATGAGAACAAGAGTGGCCATTGACTTGGGAACACAAAAGTCATAGGTGATTTGACAAGAGCCCTTTCTGTGGAATGGTGAGGGTGGAAGTACAGGTAGAGTAGGTCAAAGCTGGCCAGCCTACAGTTACATCAGCTATAATCAACTTCCGAGAAATTTTACTAGTACATGAATGGGAGCAGAGAAATGTCAGTAGCTAGGGGCAGGGGGCAAGAGAAGCTTTTCCTATTTGTTTGATACAAGAGCAGGTTTACATGTGGATAGCAATAGACTTGTAGGAGAGAAGGGAAAATTGCTAAAGCAGGTCTTTCTGAAGCACACCTCTCTGTCCAGAGATTCAGACAAGGAGGAAGCACCCACACTTGCGGGCTGCTTTGGATGTTCCTGGAAACAGGAGCCCCACATTTTGATCCAGCTGATAAAGTGGGGGCTGCTGTAATAACAACATAGTCATGTGTTTGCCCTGGCTAAATGTGGACACTGGCCTGTTTTCCTTACCGTGGCTGGAGTGTTAGTGCTGAACTTTGGTATTCAGGGAGAAGGGTGTATGAAGTTATTTGGGCATACAGCGCTCTGAAAACCCGTATATATAATTGATACCCCAGGAGTCTCCTCTCCACTGAAGAGCCAGGTAAAATCTATGTGGATGCCAGCAAATTCTATGCTTGGGAAATCCACAGCTTTCCCCGATTCCTGGGTCTTCTGTTTCTACTGTCTCCTTTGCATTTGGGACCTGTGCATTCTTGGAGGTTTTGTTCTTTCCCTAGGACTTGGCCCCTTCAGCAGTCAGCACAAGAACTCTGTGCACACCTGCATTCTGTGT